TGTTTATGTCATGTTTCTGTTAATAACATGTTTTTCTCTGACAAATGGGAAGTGATATTAAGAGAAATCTACTGTACAACTAACACCTATAGCAACACACTGGTTAGCTTCCAACCTATGTAATCTGAGTCATTGACAACCAATGACTATAGCTGTGTCCTAAAATCGTCACACAGGTATTATTTTTCAGTAGGTGTGATCGGTTGTCATCTATATATACAACTAACTCCTATAGCAACACACTGGTTAGTGGTTAGCTTCCAGTAGAATTAGTCTGAATTTGTCATCTACAGTTTGGTTTGGTTTGGTTTAGTATTTTTTAACGTCCTATCAACAGCTATTATCATTTTAGGACTGCCTCCCTGTATGCAACATGCATGCATGTAGTGTGTGTGTGTGTGTTTTGGGAGGCTGTGATAGCGTGGAACTGATGCCGACTTTATAGTGCTACCTTACTGAAACATATTGCTTACAATAACACCTACAACTATATGTATATGTATGTCCTAAAATCTTCACACTGGTTATTAAATTTTTAATTGGATTTGTTCTGCTTTCATCTAAAAATATCATCTATACTAACAACAGCAACACACAGGTAAGATTTTGGTAGATGTCGCCTGTTGTCATCTAAATCTATCATCTACAGCAACACACAGGTAATATTTTGGTAGATGTGGCCTGTTGTAATCTGAATCTATCATCTACAGCAACATACAGGTAAGATTTTGGTAGATGTGGCCTGTTCTCATCTAAATCTATCATCTACATGTACAGCAACACACAGGTAAGATTTTGGTAGATGTGGCCTGTTGTAATCTAAATCTATCATCTATACTATCTGAAGCAACCTACAGGGAATATTTTGGTGTATGTGGCCTGTTCTAATCTAAATCTATCTTCTATACTAACTGCAGCAACATACAGGTAACAGTTTGGTGGATGTGGCCTGTTGTAATCTAAATTGGTCATCTATACTAACTACAGCAACACACAGGCAAGATTTTGGTAGATGTGGCCTGTGCTCATCTAAATCTATCATCTACAGCAACACACAGGTAAGATTTTGGTAGATTTCACCTGTTGTAATCTAAATCTATCATCTAAAGCAACACACAGGTAAGATTTTGGTAGATGTGGCCTGTTGTCATCTAAATCTATCATCTATACTAACTACAGCAACACACAGGTAATATTTTGGTAGATGTGGCCTGTTCTAATCTAATCTATCATCTACAGCAACATACAGGTAAGATTTCGGTAGATGTGGCCTGTTGTAATCTAAATTGGTCATCTATACTAACTACAGCAACACACAGGCAAGATTTTGGTAGATGTGGCCTGTTGTCATCTTAATCTATCATCTATACTAACTACAGCAACATACAGGTAATATTTTGGTAGATATGGCCTGTTGCCATCTAAATCTATCATCTACAGCAACATACATGTAAGATTTTTGGTAGATGTGGCCTGTTGTCATCTAAATCTATTATCTACAGCAACATACAGGTAAGATTTTGGTGGATGTGGCCTGTTCTAATCTAATCTATAATCTATACTAACTGCAGCAACATACAGGTAACATTTTTGTAGATGTGGCCTGTTCTAATCTAATCTATCATCTATACTAACCGCAGCAACATACAGGTAATATTTTGGTGGATGTGGCCTGTCCTAATCTAATCTATCATCTATACTAACTGCAGCAACATACAGGGAATATTTTGGTAGATGTGGCCTGTTCTAATCTAAATCTATCATCTATACTAACTGCAGCAACATACAGGTAACATTTTGGTGGATGTGGCCTGTTCTAATCTAATCTATAATCTATACTAACTGCAGCAACATACAGGTAACATTTTTGTAGATGTGGCCTGTTCTAATCTAATCTATCATCTACAGCAACATACAGGTAAGATTTCGGTAGATGTGGACTGTTGTAATCTAAATTGGTCATCTATACTAACTACAGCAACACACAGGTAAGATTTTTGGTAGATGTGGCCTGTTGTAATCTAAATTGGTCATCTATACTAACTACAGCAACACACAGGCAAGATTTTGGTAGATGTGGCCTGTTGTCATCTTAATCTATCATCTATACTAACTACAGCAACATACAGGTAATATTTTGGTAGATATGGCCTGTTGTCATCTAAATCTATCATCTACAGCAAAACACAGGTAAGATTTTGGTAGATTTCACCTGTTGTAATCTAAATCTATCATCTAAAGCAACACACAGGTAAGATTTTGGTAGATGTGGCCTGTTGTAATCTAAATTGGTCATCTATACTAACTACAGCAACACACAGGTAAGATTTTTGGTAGATGTGGCCTGTTGTCATCTAAATCTATCATCTATACTAACTACAGCAACATACAGGTAAGATTTTGGTAGATGTGGCATGTTGTCATCTAAATCTATCATCTACAGCAACATACATGTAAGATTTTTGGTAGATGTGGCCTGTTGTCATCTAAATCTATTATCTACAGCAACGTACAGGTAAGATTTTGGTAGATGTGGCCTGTTGTCCTCTAAATCTATCATCTATACTAACTACAGCAACACACAGGTAATATTTTGGTAGATGTGGCCTGTTGTAATCTAAATTGGTCATCTATACTAACTACAGCAACACACAGGCAAGATTTTGGTAGATGTGGCCTGTTGTCATCTAAATCTATCATCTACAGTAACATACAGGTAAGATTTTTGGTAGATGTGGCCTGTTGTCATCTAAATCTATCATCTACAGTAACATACAGGTAAGATTTTTGGTAGATGTGGCCTGTTGTAATCTAAATCTATTATCTATACTAACTGCAGCAACATACAGGTAATATTTTGGTAGATGTGCCCTGTTGTCATCTAAATCTATCATCTACAGCAAAACACAGGTAAGATTTTGGTAGATTTCACCTGTTGTAATCTAAATCTATCATCTAAAGCAACACACAGGTAAGATTTTGGTAGATGTCACCTGTTGTAATCTAAATCTATCATCTACAGCAACACACAGGTAATATTTTGGTAGATGTGGCCTGTTATTATCTAATTTATCATTTATACTAACTGCAGCAACATACAGGTAATATTTTAGTGGATGTGGCCTGTTCTAATCTAATCTATCATCTACAGCAACATACAGGTAAGATTTCGGTAGATGTGGACTGTTGTAATCTAAATTGGTCATCTATACTAACTACAGCAACACACAGGCAAGATTTTGGTAGATGTGGCCTGTTGTCATCTTAATCTATCATCTATACTAACTACAGCAACATACAGGTAATATTTTGGTAGATGTGACCTATTGTGATCTAAATCTATCATCTACAGCAACATACAGGTAAGATTTTGGTAGATGTGGCCTGTTGTAATCTAAATCTATTATCTATACTAACTGCAGCAACATACAGGTAATATTTTGGTGGATGTGTTCTGCTGTCATCTAAACTATCATCTATACTAACTATATAGCAACACACAGGTAAGTTTTTGGTGAATGTGTGGCCTGTTGTAATCTAAATCTAGCATCTACAGCAACTCACAGGTAACTTTTTGGTGGATGTGATTTGCTGTCATCTAAAACTATAACACCTGTAGCAACACCCTGGTTATATAATAATAAGCTTTTAGTTGGTTTATATGACTGCTTGTCATCTACAACGTTAACTGAAACATACATGTATAGCTAAAGCTGTTCATGTATAGTGTCCTTATTATCTACACGCTGCTGCACAGCAGCTACACGCTGGTTAGCTTTACGTTAACCTGGTCCGTAATCATTTACATCGAAAACTGAAGCTGTGTTTTAATACCTACACGATTGGAAAATTAAATCTTGTATTAAATTCACACCCATACACTTACAGCTAACTAATTTAGCTTTAGGTGGGTGGGTGCGATTTTAATACCAGATTTAATGTTCTAACATGACTACAGTATCAAGTAACAAACAGATAGCCAAGGGCTTCATCAACCACACCCCAAGCATCACAACCCACACACCTGTCGCTCCCGACACACATATCAGCATTGATTCTTATTAGCTTTAAATAGACATTATATACATCATTTCATTATCTGATGAAATCAATTTTGTTTACGTCAGCCATTTTCGATATACAAACTACAATGAGTGTATATAAACAGGTAGGGAGGGTTGGGTTAGGGATTGAATGATGTTTGCAAGTAACCTGCTGAGAAAAAATTGGTCCCCATAAAATAGGGACTAATGATAATGACCAAGTTTCATCAATATCTGCCCGTCAGTTTCAGAGAAAAAAGTCCAAATACAGGTGATGCAACCATTTTGAATAAATGCGTTTAAATTTTCAGTGATGACAGATGTCATTGTATTCATGATCTTGCTGGAAAACAAGAGATCCCACAAGGATCTCAGCACCAACCAATGAAAAATCAAGGAATGGAATTGTTTTCAGCGATATGAAACATTAAATAGTACAAGTAAACTTACCAACACAGTTGTCACAAAGACTGCAGTGGGAGGCCCGAGGTGGCCTAAATATCTTACAGGTGAAGCAGTACTTGAGCTTGACCACTTGACCTTTGATGACCACTTCTTTGGTCCTTGGAGGCGGCCTGTAGGTACCCGGGGATGTTGTGCTTGGGATTTCTGAAAATCAAGGATAAGATCACTACAAGCTTTCAGGCAGGCAAGAAGATTTCTTAGTAATAGATTTATATGATTACTCAGTATTATTCTGGATCATCACAACTTAATAGCTGTTTTCCTTACTTGAATATGTCAAAAAGCCTAAATATTGTTTAAACAAAGAAACAATTGGTAATCTTCCAAATAAAGTGCAATTTTGAGTCCTTGACTATTTGGCAGGGACTCAATATGTTATACAATTTTGCACTAAAAGAAACGAAACACAAGTGACACACAGCTATTGCTACAATGTCTCTTTGTCTTTGCCACACAAAGGTAAGGTGAAATTTCAAATATTTATTATTCAACTTGGCAACATAAACAAGAGGCCCAGAGAGCCTGTATCGCTCACCTGGATATCAAAGTAATCATGGCAAAATAAGATCCAAAGGAATGTATCCTATCTGTATTGGATTTTTCATGCCCAGCAATTTTATGTATGGTTAAGGGGTGGGAATCTCAACTGTTTCCAAGGTGTGACTCAGAAACTAGGTCCCTAGGATTGTGGCCAGATCCCAGGATCAATTATAATATCATGACTGCATTCGTCTCTTTATGCCCAGCATTTGTATATATATATACAGTTTTGGGGTGGGGATCTCAACTGTTCCAAAGTTATGACCCAGAGGTTAAGTCTGAGAGGGTAGGACAGACCCCGGGGTTAATTCTTATATCATGACTGCATTTGTCTCTTTATGCCCAGCATTTGTATATACAGCTTTGGGGTGGGGATCTCAACCGTTTCAAAGTTATGACCCAGGGACTATGTCTCCAAGGGTGGGGCAAAACCCCTGGGCAATCCTGGAAACATATCTGCATTCTTCTCTTCATTCTCAGCAATTGTATATATGGTTATAGGGTAGGGATCTCAACCATTTCCAAGCAATAAACTATTTTTATCCAAGGGGTCAGCCCCACTACTTGTACAATTTGAATCCCTGGCTCCCATGAATGCTTCCAACCAAATATGATTGATATCCAGTGCTTAGGTCTACAGAAGAAGTCATTTATAGCAAAATAGCCAAATTATCCTTTTTGGCCCCATCCATCAGCCCCCTGGGGGGTCAGCCCCACCATTTGTACAATTTTGGATCCCCGCCTTTCATGAATGCTTCTGACCAAACATGATTGATATCCAGTGTATAGTTCTACAGAATAAGTCATTATAGCAATTTAGCCAAATTGCCCCCTTTTGGCCCCGCCACTCAGCCCCCTGGGGAGTCAGTCCCATCATTTGTACAATTTTTAATCCCCATTACCTAGGAATGCTTCCAGTAAAATATGGTTGATATCCATATTTTAGTTGTAGAGAAGAAGTCGCTTAAAGCAATATAGCCAAATAACCATTTTTGGCCCCGCCCCTCAGCCCCCTTGGGGTTCAGCCCAACCATTTTTACATTTTTGAATCCCCACTACCTAGGGATGCTTCCAGTAAAATATGGTTGATATCCATTGCACAGTTCTACAGAAGAAGTTGTTTATAGCAATATAGCCAAATTATTTTTTGGCCCGCCCCTCAGCCAGCTAGGGGGTGAGCCCAACTATTTGTAAACAAGAGGCCCAATGGGCCTGCATCGCTCACCTGGTTTTAAACTCACACTTGTAACCTTAAAAGTGATCTAAAATAAAGCTACAGGCAAAATATCAGTTTTTATGATTAAAATTCGTTCAAAAGACCCTGTTATTTTTTTTTTAAAACATTTCACCCCTGCGATTGAAAGTCGAACAAAGTCATTATGTTGAACACATTGTATAGCCTTTCATCTCAGGATGCAACTTGCAAAGTATAAACATCCTGGGACCCATGGTTATTCATAAGAGGTTGTTTAAAGATTTTAAACAAATTTGACCCCTGTGACCTTGAATATAAGTCAAAGTCATTCACTTTAACAAACATAGTAGTCCTTGATCCCAGCATATGCTACTAACTAAATATCAACATCCTGAGCCTTTTGG